TGTGTGTGTGTGTGTGTGTGTGTGTGTGTGTGTGTATGTGTGTGTATGTTTGGTCGAAGCAAAGGAATAAACTCTGTAGCAAAAACATACTATTTAATTATTTTTTTAAAAAACCTCGTTGATCCGTTCCATATAAAATTGTGGTTTTAACTGTAAAACCCACAAATTGAGGGGATAGTGCTTGCTGCGTAAATGTTTTTGCGCCTTATTCCAGGAACATAAAACGATTTGTACTGCCCGAAAGTTTAGCTCTCAAATCTAAACGTCGTGTCATATCCCTGTAAGCTTCATATACGCAATGACATTGCAGTAAGGTGTTCGTTTTACACACTGTCGGCAAGCTGTTCTCCTTTTCTAACCCCATGAAGCTTTTTTTTTTCATGGGGACTAAAAAGTAGTTCTACATTTCTTTTCATGTCTCCCGCTCCCTCCCCTTCCCCACCCCTTCCCCCACCCCCATTGCTTCGACTCTGAATATCGGCAAACTATTAAAATTTCTCGATCACAAGCAACGGACCGATCCCACGAACAATAAAACTGCAACAACTAATTTGAATAAAACCATAACAATAGTTTTGGGATTGGTACATAGGAACAGCTGCTGGTCTACGATACAAAATATAGGACTGTATATAGGACACTGGTATTATATTTGAGTGCTGGGAATGTCTGCTGTGCCAAGGCAGAGCGACGTATCTGCACTTTTTATGATTTTGAGTTACGTCGCGCTGCCATTGGAAATATGGGCATGGCCCCTCAGTTACGTCTATGTGTCATAATGAAATATCCTGTTAATTGTGCAGATGCGTCTTTCTGCCTTTGACACAAGATGCAGAATGGGTATAGGCGTCCATTTAAACGAAGATAAATAAATTTTGCAGATACCTCGGCCTGCCTTGGAACCGCAGAGTCTGCTTTAGAGCGAAAAACGGGACGAAGCTTGGAGTACAAAATGAGCCCGTCGCCGTTTAATTGCCGTTCTTTCTGTTGCCGTTTAATTGCCGTTCTTTCTGTTGCCGTTTAATTGCCGTTCTGTTGCCGTTTAATTGCCGTTCTGTTGCCGTTCAGTTGCCGTTCTGTCGCCGTTCCGTCACCGTTTTCCCCCGAAAAAAGACAGGTTTAAATTTTATGCAATAATGAATATTAGTTGCACTACGCTACTTGGAGTGGTGCCGTTTTCAGAGCGCCAACCCGTGCTGCACCCGTGGCAGACCCGTCGTTTCATTGGAGTTTTCATTAATGTTAGTGCTGCACTGAAATGCGGTCAGCGTAGAACAGTCTTTTCTCTCTTTCTTCTAGCAAGGGAATACGGTGGAGGAGGAAGCTTTGATAAAGGCTGTCAGTCAGAAAAAGGCAGGTTCTTTATAATAAAGGAGACAATGATTATTCAACCAGAGTTTTAATCAGAATTTTGGTAGATTTTCGAAAATGTGTTTCCCTCTTCTTTGTGACATAGGGTCCTATCAAATCTAGCAGCAAGTAAAAAGTGCTTGGTTCCATTCGGAACTTCTCCTCATCATACAAAATTTCGTCTAAAAGAAGGTGGAACTCCCTGTAGATTTCTCGCCTTTAGTGAATTCAATGAACTCAATGTCTTCGCTTAATCTACAATGACGACGTCTCTTCTCTTAACCCTATCCGTACGCCCTGGGGTCATTTTGTACTCCTGGGGTGGTATTCTTCACATTTTAAAATACTTCTAGTACGAAGATCTCTTTGAAACTTTCAGTATTTCTCACAAAATCATTTTGACAGATTGCTATGCAAAGCTTTGGATTAACGAGTAAATTTCCTCTTTGGAAAGTCGTGGCACTGAGGGGATGTGCAAATTTCGGTCCTGTGCTAGGTGTGTAGCGTCTGTAATAGACGTGTCATGTTGTTCCAGGGCCTTTTTAACCCCATCCAGTCAGGTCTTTCTTTGTCTTCCTCTTGATTTGATGCCGGATTCTCGGGTGTGGTAAGCTCTAGCCGCTAGTTGTTTCAGGGGCATTCTGGTTAGATGTGCAAACCATTTGACTCTTTGACGCTCTATCAATTTTATTACTGGAGGCATTCCCGTTTGTAGATGTATGGTTTCGTTCTTATGCGGTCTCTTCTGATGACGTTGATGGTTTTGCGGAGACACCCCATTTCGTATGCTTTGATTTTTCTTTCTTGTGCCTTGTTTAGAAACCATGTTTGGTCCTTATTAACTAAGTTATTTTTACTCCCCAGTATAACATTTCCTCTCAGTCATCGACCTTGTACTCACCATCTGTGGCCCTATCCTCTCACAGTAAATCTCTCTGTACTCACCATCTGTGGCCCTATCCTCTCACGGTAAATCTCTCAAGGTAAATCTCTCACGGTAAATCTCTCTGTACTCACCATCTGTGGCCCTATCCTCTCACGGTAAACCTCCCTGTACTCACCATCTGTGGCCCTATCCTCTCACGGTAAACCTCCCTGTACTCACCATCTGTGGCCCTATCCTCTCACGGTAAATCTCTCTGTACTCATCCATCCAGACCTCCGCCACCCTGAGACAGTTCCGGGTCAAAGTTCGGTCAAAGTTTTGACCCACAGAGAACGGCAGGCGAAGACGGAACATGTGACCTACGTGTGAGCAAGGGATCATCTCTATACTCCCTCCACACATCCACGCCTGGAACAGAAAATCAAATTAGTGAGAAAATGGTTGTTGAATTTAGGCGACTTCCAAAGCTGCTAAGGTGTCATTGGAAACTGCAAATTTACAATATTTGTTCTTTTGCCGAACGTTTTTCAGTAAAATCCACACAGGAATGTGCTTTTAAATGGACGTGAAAAATGTTGAAAAATCAACAAAAAAAAACAAAAAAACAAACAAAAAAAACAATGCAAAAAAAACGCACGTAAATAATAAATATCAATTAATTATAAGAGCCCAAATGGGAAGAAAAATGTTGGTTTCCTTGATATTATTATTTATGACGAGCGCCTGACTTCACTCTGATGCCTCACTTTCCATGTCTAGCATGGTATCAAGTCAACAAAAGGCAGTAGGACACGAGAATTCAATCCAGAATCATAATCATCATCATCATCCGGTTCCTTGCCGACTGGCGTGGGCGATCATGGACCTCCATTTCACTCTGTCTTACGTTGCAGCAATGGTGTCTGCCATTCTTGCTGTTCCTAGAAAGGTTGTCAACTTGTCCAGTATCTTTTCCCCTCTGTCTGCCTTTGCCTCTCTTTCCAACAAGACTGCTTGTTGTTACAATGTTCTCCAATGCTTCTTTCTGCATTGTGTGTTCAATGAACTTTGCCTGTCCATCTGGAATAGGCGACATTAAGTGCAAAATTTAGTCACCTTGAACGAAAGCTCCATGTCTTCACAGCCCCAGATTTGAAGTTCTGGATCATAGCGGCCCAAACGGTTGAAGTTGTTTGTGGAGACGGCGAAGCAACAGCCGAGGAGACTGGGCATTCTGGGGGAAAGAATGGATCATGTGATCGTGGTAGTGGGCATTCGCGGATTGTTTTGTTTTAGGAAAAGAGTTTTACGGCACTCGAAACACAATCAGGTAGTGTTGTGTAGATGCTGAAGATTAGGAGTGTTTTAAGAGAGGAACAGACACAAGAAAGAAGGAGTGATAACGATGATAGAAGTTTGAAGGGAAAGAAGGAGAAAACCACACCAGAGTACCCACCAACCAGCCACGCAGGACAGTGAGAGCACAAGTGGTCTATATCTACTTTTAATTGGTGGCGTAGTAAGTTGCGGGTTCGGAAGTTGGAAGCTGAGCTCGGTCTTTTTTCTTCTTTTTTGTGTTTTACAACGCTCACAACTGCATAAGGTCATAGACAACAGAACATAGCTAGAGAGCAGGAAAGGATCTATAAGGAGACCGTTTTAGAAAAGAATTTTCTCCATCACTACCCTGATTCGAACCCGGGACCTTTGTAAGAGAGGCGGAGACCTTAGCCTCTAGGCCCCAAGAGTCCCATCAGCTCGGTCTGACGTTGGGACTTTACACTCACTTTCCCAAGTGGAAATGTCTCCTGGCGTTTGTGGTGTATTGGTTAGGCCCTTCGCCGTTGTACACAGAAGACGTGAGTTCTTAACTTAGTGAAGATCGTTTTCGTTTTTTTATTTCGAATAGTATCTCTGTCTACCACCAGGGTGCTGTATACCACCTGCCAGTCAGGTTCGGAGCAGAACGATCTGAATTATAATAATGATAGACAGCATTTGTTTAGCGCAAATCCCCGATCAACAGCAAGCTCTACACGCTTAACAATCTATACTATCACGCCAGAAGACCTGACAGCATTTTGAAACAACCTCAACTTCCTGGGAAGCATAAAGTGCAAGCAGCCATTTATAGGCACTAAAACATTAACATACTGACAAAATCTTTCCCTGTCTATGGCCGGGTACCCTTTCCAACTTTATTGAAGTGAGGATAAAATTGGGTAAAGTGTCTTTCCCAAGGACACAACGTCGGGCCTGTGGCTCGAACCCCCGAACACGGAACCTCACGATAACGAGTTCGTTAGCCTAACCACGAGTAAGCCCAAACACTTACAGTTCAAGGGGTCAAGTGGAAAACATGAACTGACCATTTTAGAAGAAAACAATCAGGGTACTATCCCTTCAGTTACGTGTGCCGCAGTACCTGTACAATACCTCTATGAAATCAATCAAGAACCCTCCCCCCCCCCAAATAAGAACATAAACAAAACGACAACAACCCCCCCCTCCCCTCAACACACACAAACAGCAATTTAAAAAAATTAACAAACTGCATTTTCATAACAGCAAAAAAATTCAAAGCAGGCTAAGTCCATTAAAAAAATCAAGAAAAGGTGGGATTATTGTGACTTAGCTTGTTTTTACTTGACACCTCCAATTGCTTTTAAAAAACTTAATATTGTTATCATTGCTTCTGTTTCTGTGTAATAAAAAAATCTCTCGCTTACTCGACAAAATGAAAAAAAAAAGGAAAAGAGGTAGACCAACTGGAAGTTACAGAAGCACAATCAGGGATGAGGCAATCACCCAGGGCCAGGATGTGCTAAGTTAAGAGAAAGTGGCCAGGACAGACAAGTGTGGCGTCGACTGTTATGCGATTTTTGTACCTGACGGTATGGGGAGAGAGTAAATGATAAGCAAGCAAGCAAGCAAGCAAGCAAGGAAGTAAGCAACCGTCAAGCAAGCAAGCAAGCAACCGAGTAAGTAAGTAAGTAAGCAAGCAAGCACGCAAGTAACCGAGAAAGCAAGCAAACAAGCAACCGAGTAAGCAAGCAAAGCAAACAAGTAAGTTACTTGACAGGATCCGCCCAAGTCTTTCTCTCCTTGCCATCTAGCGGCGTCATAGAAAGCCAGCTAAAAATGAGATTCCAACCCATGCCGCCCCTGAACTGGTTCCAGGCGGGCTCGAAGTGGTAGGCAGAGTCCTGCCAGCCGATGACGTCAGTCGCGGGCACAGCCACCACAGTGTCGTCCTCGGTGACTCGCTGAAGGAGGGGTTCCAGCCAGCCTTGGGAAAATTACGTGGCACATGATAATGCGGTGGAATCAGGCGCTCGTTAATTATGTGATTTCAATGAACAAAAAAATCTATCTTTTATAGAAGCTGAGCTATTTGCAACTGATGGAGATAGGGGGTCGCCTGGTTTCAGAGGATAAGTTAGCACGAAAATGACTGCCAAAGTTTGAAATGAAATGGTATAGGTTTAACGCCCCCAATCAACACTTTTAGGTTATTTAAAAGGCGGGACCTCCGAGTTTGAAATCCATCTCCAAAAGGACCGAGCCAAAGGGGAAATTCATGTAAAGTGTCTTTCCCAAAGACACAACCCTGGACCGAGCTGAGGCTCAAACCCCCGAACCCACAATCTCACGATTACGGGTCCGGTAGCTTAAACACTAGGCTACCGACGCCACAGCCAAAATTTGGTGACTTCCAAAGCTTTAGAGGCACACAAATGTATTTACAGTTTCCATGGACTTTGTTAGTCATTGATTTTAGTGCTGTTTGAAATTGTTGTAGATCTCATGATTCATACTGTTGATGTGGTAGTCTTGCTCTTTGCTTCTTTACATTGCTGTTGTTGCCATATATTCACACCTGTTGATGCTGTTTTATCTTGATATTATCAAAGCTGGAGACACGTACATATTACGCCTTCTGTTTAAGAGCATAAACACAATTGAAGACCTGAAAACAGGACAACTCCAAAGTCATTTTTGCTGAACAGAGAAAAAAACGTTAAAAAATCCATTGACTTATATATTTGTTTTGAAATACTGCAGGGTTTTTTTTTCGTTCTTTTTTTTGTTGCTACATGGTTAACTGTACGTACAGTGTCATGTGCACTGTCACTTGATGCCTGGAAGTCTTCTCTGTTTAAAGATACCAAGAACTTTATTTTTGCCATTTTGAACCCAGGCACAGCCTGTCTTGTTCTCAGGTTTCAATGATCTTTTATTATCATCAACGCCCCACTGACCAGCATTGACCTCACAGTGAGCATCCAGAAATACAGCGACGTCACCAGTCACGTGATCAAAACCAGCCAACCGTGCCTTGATGAGCCCCGACCTATTGGACATGCGCACTAGCTTGACTTTTCCTTCAAAGATAACCAGATAGTCATCGAGCGGTTGTTGAAGATGTTCTGAAAAAAAAAGAATATTCTTATTATGGAGGGATGTCTTAAAAGCGCCAGTCAGGTCTATGCAAATTTAAGTACTACAGTCGAACTTGCTATGTCGACCACCTGTGCAAATAGCCACGTCCACCCCCTCCCATTTTTCGTTCTCTAACATTATATTAAAACTGTGTAAGACAGCCCCCAAGGACAAAAGAAAAACTCGTACGTTGGTCGGAGGCGTCGTCTACGAGAACAATCTCCGAGATGAGCTCGCTGGGCCCGGCGTCCAAGATACTGAACACCGTCCGCATCAGAACTGACCACAGCTCGTTGTTGAAGATGATGACCACACCGGCCCGGGGCAGACTCGGCAGGTCATAGGTCAGGTGGGAGCACCTAGGGAAGTGTGGAGATTATGTTATGGTTTCCCCTTGTGTCAAAATTCTTTAAAAATCTGACCTTCCATTCTGTATTTAATAATTCCACGGATAAAACAGCTGAAACTCCTACTACGTAAGGCACCACCCCCCCTTAAACAAAACGTAACCCAAAGAGCACTTTTCCCAAATGTCATAATTGCTTCTTGGGGGCAATAAACATCTTTGGTTTCGTTTTGATAAGAGTTTTACAACATTTGCAACTACAATTAGTTCGTGTTATTTTCATTTTAAAAAAAGAAGTGCCGAAGGTTAGAGCTTGGAAAAAAAAATTCAAAGAATAAAAAAGGAGGTGAGATAAAAACGATGCATCTCTTTATTAGGAAAGTAGGAGCAAATCAAGCCAG